TACAACATCTAATAGAAAATAAATATCAACCAGAAGGCATCATAGTGCTTAGGAAAGTAAAACGTAATAAACTTCTCGTACCTACAGACTACAGTGAGGGAAAAAACTAACCTCAAAACCAGCTGAGTCATATTGACGCCTTTTATCCGGATCAGATAAAATGTTATATGAAAAGGTGACCTCCTTGAACATGTCCGCTGCTTTAGGATCATTTGCATTCTTGTCAGGATGATACCTGCATTTTGAGAAGGCAGCAACAAAAACAACATAATCTGCATCAGACACGAGGGATAATACTTGCATCTTAGAATCACATGCTATGATATAGCCAAATTCTACAAATACAAAAGAGCTGAGAACTTTCTCGGATTACTGAACTGCTTGAATACGAATTTCTCATGGGAGCAATATTTTTAAAATTGGTTGCTAATGATTTTATAAAACATTCCTGTTTGATAATTTCCACAGACATCAGAACCAACTATGTAATTGTTGCCCTCCAAATTGTTATTGAGCTTTGATATATCAAACTCAAAGCTAACTTTCCAAAACTACCATAGACTGAAGAATGATGAGAATTGAGAAAGATAAGACTGAAAAAAGAGCAAAGTAAAGAAGACAAGAAGTTATGGATTCTAATTTCCTTCCTATAACTTAAATATCAAACTTATTCTCAAGAATAACCAAAATGATAAACATTTTCAATCTAAAAGATTAAACTCTTCCAGAATCCTGCTCAAACAACCACTTCTCCCTTACTTCCTTATCTCAAAACAGGAAAAACCAATCCTTTATTTTGACAGTTATTTATTTCTCTTAAAATTTAATATTGAGGTAAAGATATTATTTCTCCAATTTTGTTAATTCGCTGGACTACTGGTTGCAGACCTAAAACTCGGAAAATACTTCCCACTAAAGTTTCATAAGAAGTTGAAACCTTCAAAAGGAAAATGCACAAGGGGAAAAAACAAAAATAAAGGAAAAAGCTCTGATCTGATAACAATAACAAACTTCATAGTAAGCAATGCACCCTCTTCTTCAAAATGTTCCTTCTTTTTCTTCTTTTAGAAAAAAAAAATCCACAGAAACAACACAGCTTCAATGTTTATGCATTTTAATAATTATTGCTGACATTTCTATATAACTAAGGGAGTCTTGGTGTAACTGATAAAGTTGCTGCCGGGGAAACAGTCTCTTGCAGAAATGCAAGATAAGGCTGCGTACAATAGACGGCTCTTTTCCGTACCCTGCGCATAGCGCGAGCTTAGTGCACCGGGCTGCCCTTTTCTATATAACTAAGCCTACAGAACTACCATTCTCAAGCTAAGTAATTTTCATTATCACCTTGGTAATAACAGTACTACCCATCAAAAAATTTAAAATCTTTCACCCCAAAATAGAAAAGACAAAAGTTAAACCCAATTTGGGTTTGAATAAAACAGCTCTACAATGCCAAAACCAAAAGAAATGCACTGAAAACAAAGAAAAAAATATGAAAAGGTCAAAACTTTAAATTCAAAATCAACAGGAATTAAAAGGGTTCAAAGATTAGACATACTTCAAAGCTAATTTCCTGTAAGCACTTTTAATTTCTTGATCTGTAGAATTCCTTGAGACACCTAATACCTCATAAGGGTCCCTCCTTAGTGTCTTTTCTGCTTCACTCTTCTCTGATTTTGACTTATGCCCCGGCATTTTTCCTCCCCAGCACTTCAAATATCACGACTTTTTTTGTTTTTTGCAATTTTTAGGGAAACACTAATGTTATTTCATAAAGATCGAAACTTTGACCTTAGAAAATGTAAATTCTATCATACCCACATCAAATTTTCCAAGAAATTTTATCTGGGAAAATCTTGGGGGTATTTTGGAAACCCTAAAAATGGAAACCCTCAGGTTCCAAGCTGGAAGAGCTGTGAAGGAGAGAAGACTTTTGTTTTTTTAGAGAATAAAAGTTTCAAATTTTTCAAATTTTTTGTGTTGGTTTCCGCTATTATACGCTGCGGGTATATTGCGCCACTGTAGAGAAAAATGACAAAAATGTCTTAGTATATTTTTGGGTAGAATAATATACAGTCAAATCTGATTATAAGACTCATCTGCTCCGAATATTTTTGGATGTTATAGCGAAGTACTGTTATAGAGAACATATATTATAACATAATATGAAAATTGATTCAAAAAAGCTTGACTTTTATAGTGAAGTGTTGTTAAATAGGAATGTTGGAGTAGTTTTATTGTGTGTCTCACACAACTTACATTAGTTGTGTGAGACTCCTTTTTGTCTCACAAATTTGTGGACCACAATCTTATACTTATGGGTCCACAAAAATTTGGGTCCACAAAACTGTGAGACAAAAAAGATGTCTCATACAACTAGTGTCAGTTATATGAAATACAAAATAAAAATTTTCCGGAATATTGTTATAGAGAGATATGCCTGTAATCCATTAAATATATTTCTTAACAACAGTGGTTCTTAAGTTTGGTCTTCGTTAAATATTTTAACAAACTATGATTATTAATCTTAACAAAAAATGTAAAATAGAAACTTACATTTGGAGGTGCAGTTTGTGTTATTTTGGGTAATTTCTAGTGTTTGGTATAGTTTATGCTATTTTTTATGTATTGCTAGTGCCTAATGCAACTTTTGGTATTACAGTATACAGGAATTAGCCAGACTCTCTTTGTATATTTGGTTTAACATTTTTTCATTTTTCACATTAAATATAACAGCTAAAATTTGTTAAATATTTTACATATACCAAAAGTATTATTTTGACAAACTTGAAGAATTAAAAATACTTCAGAATATTCTTAAGGGACTATCCTAAACGCAACTCAAACATAAGGGGCCCTTTTTTCATTTTCTCCGCCACTCTCTGAGTTTGTATTTGGCACGTGCGGTTCATGCGGCCGATAATGTCCATTGATCATTCGCGACTGAGGTGCGTAATGCGCACTGGGCGTAGAGAAGAGTAAGGGTTGGTTTTGGAATATTGAGGAGTTGTGGGGTGCTGAGGTGGCAAAAAAGGGAAAACAGAGGAAATGAACTGGATCATATTCATAGCCATGATTAATGGTGTAAAGGGGGAAACTCATTGAGATCGCAATCAATGGGTTAGGGGAATGATTAAGAAACTTGACCTTAAATACCCGATTGATGAGATTTTGATGGATTTTAATCATAGCATTTACCTTTTTTGTTCATGATTTTAATACTTTAGCCATCATATTAAGTACACACAGTATTATACTTCGTGTAACATATACCTCCTTTGTTTCCAGTAATCGGGCTCTACAAGACAAGCCACATCCATAGTCTTCAAGCACAAAAGTCCATTAAGGGATTTCTTGGACACTACTCTACTCTAATCCTAGTTCATGCCCATATAAAAGGGTAAATATTCCCTTGAATAGGGACGGCAATCGGGGCGGTGCAAGTGAGGAGCGGTGGGGATTTAAAGCTATGCAGTGCGGGGCGGGGGAGGGTGCAGGGCGAGTTTAGGTAATTTTTAAAATTACTGATGCGGGACGGGGCGAGTTGCGTAAAAATTGCGTGGAGTAGCCACTTTTTAAAGTGGTATTTACTTTTTATCCAGTATTTTCAATGCTTAGCAATAGTAGCCACTAGTCTATTAAAATTAATATGAAAAGACTGTATTACCCTTTCATCTATCTCTTTCATGTTAGGAAGAAGAACTGTGCCGCCGTAGTTTATTGTTTTCAGAAGAAACGCAATACAAACAACAAAACTTGCATTTTCTTTTTCTAAAAAAGTGAACCCCACATCAAAATACTCAGTCAGAACTACAAACATATTTGTAAACTACTATTCTCCACATCAATATACGTTCGCGAAAAAACAAAACGAAATTAAACAGAAACAAAAAAGGAAAACCTTTTGTAGTCCATTTCAGCTAGCGAAGGAATTGGAGAGAACCGCCATAGACATAACCAACACCCCTGAACTTACAATTACAAGTTCAAAAGTTAAGGACACTTGGTCCTGAACTTAGACTAACAAGCTCAAAAGTTAAGGACAATAGGTCCTGAACTTACAGTTACAAGTTCAAAAATTAAGGACAATAGGTCCTGAAGTCCTCAACTTAGACTAACAAGCTCAAAAGTTAAGGATAATAGGTCCTGAACTTAGGCTAAGAAGCCCAAAAGTTAAGGACAATAGGTGCTGAACTTAGACTAACAAGCTCAAAAGTTAAGGACAATAGGTCCTGAAATTAGACTAACAAGCTCAAAAGTTAAGGACACTTGGTCCTGAACTTACAGTTACAAGTTTAAAAGTTAAGGACAATAGGTCCTGAAGTCCTGAACTTAGACTAACAAGCTCAAAAGTTAAGGACAATAGGTCTTGAACTTAGGCTAAGAAGCCTAAAAGTTAAGGACAATAGGTCTTGAACTTAGACTAACAAAGCTCAAAAGTTAAGGACTGGTCCTGAACTTACAGTTACAAGTTCAAAAGTTAAGGACATGTAGTCCTGAAGTCCTGAAGTTAAGTTTCGTCCGGGCAGTTAAAGTTTATTAAAGCAGTGGCTAAAGACTAACACATTTTAAACAGTGGCTTATAAGTAAATAGATGTGTTATTAGTGGTTAACCGTGCACTTCCCCCGCGAGTTGCGAGTATATGTGGGTTTAAGCAACTTTTGTAGCGCCTCGGAAAAATTTTCGAAATATTATAAGGTCATTAAGTGGTCCGACGGGTGCTAATTATATTTATTTGTATGTGAGTGTTAATTAATACTCCCTCCATTTTAATTTATGTGAACCTATTTTCTTTTTAGTTTGTACCAAAAATAATGACCACTTTCCTTCTTTGGGAACATTTTACCCTTATGCAATGATTTGTAGCCACACAAAATATATGTACCTCATTTTGCACCACAAGTTCAAAAGTCTTCTCCCTTTTCTTAAATTTCGTGCCCGGTCAAATGGGTTCATATAAATTGAAACGGAGGGAGTACTATGAAAGATATCCCATGAACATAATAACAAGTGTACAAGGTGTATTTGAAGTGATATAGGGCCTAAAGAGAGCCTTTGGGACAAGTCATGTTGGAAATTACACGATGGACTAAAGTTCCAAATGAGTACGCGCAAGACCTGACTTTGGACGAGCATATATATATATATATAGTTATGTGGTGAACAACCTACCAAATGAAGATCGAGTCTAGTTTCTAACTCTTCAAACCGTTCGTCATTTGGACATTCATACAAGAAGTTATGATCAAATTACTAAAGGTTGGCAGTGAACTACTGCCATAGTGTCAGGGTCCGCGCCCGGGCAGCGTCCGAAGTCCAGAAATCTAGGCCTATATGTACAAGGTCGGGGAGAGAGAGTATTTTGAGCTTTTGGGGTTAGGGTTCTTGAGGTTAAGAGGTGATTTTAAGCTCAAATCAAGTCCAACCAATTAAGATAAGTTGCTAATGATATTTTAGGTTGATTCTTCCTCAATATACATGAGTCCTAATATCATTCTTACATACAAATACTAGATTTCATCATAAAATTCTAAAGAACACAAAAATTATTAAAGTTGTGATTTCTCAAGATTGATCTACTAGAGGTAATTCTTATGCTTCAAACTCGTTTATTATGAGTAGTTAGAAGTATTGTAGCATTTATTACAAGTTTTAATTTTTGAAAGACTGGATTATAAAACTTTAGTTCATGGCATGAATAGTACTTTTGAGAAAATAAGAGAGAAGATGAAAAGTAATCTTGGCGATGAAATTGATGAATACAATGAACATATGAAATTATTTGTTAGCAAAAGTTGGAAGTGATCAACTAAGTAATCACCCGAATTGTATATTGTGCAACTGTTGATTATGGAAGACGATGAATAGTAACTTAGTGGCATTGAACAATTAATGTAATATTATTAGTGACTTCAAATGGGTATTAAATTATAAGAATAAAGTTGAACAGGCTAGCATGTGAATCTACTGGGCGATTTGAGTTGTTGGAGGCTTGTAGCCAACTTATGAAATGGATATTGATCAATATTTTAGGGTGTATTTTGATATAATTAGGATATATAATTATAGATATCGACTTGTTGGTGATGTTTGGGCATATTTATCAACAATGGAACAACGGATATATTTAGCACGCCTAACGTGGTACTAGGCAAGCCGACACTTCAAAATATTTCCAACACTTTTAAATGAAAAATGAGCTAAGACAACTTAAATTATTAAAGCTCTCATAAACTGGATAGAAAATCAAAAACTCAATATGGAAGTCTCCAAAAACAGGGCGTCGCTGAGTACATGAGCAACACGAGTCTGAAAATACTGTCTATGAAAACTGAACTAAATACATAAATCTGAAAGATAGGGAAGGAGAGTCAAGGTCTGCGAACGTCGGGCAGCTACCTTGAAATCTCCGAGTGATCAAGATGCGCAGATAATTAACACCCACCGTGTCCAGAAACACATGGATCTGCATAGAAAATGCAGGGTGTAGCGTGAGTACAACTAACTTAGTAAGTAACAAAACTAACTAATGGACTGAAAGTAGTGACGAGCTTCACAAATATAGTTCAATTACAGAAATTACAATATAGGAAGATAGGCATGCTTTCAAGTTCAACAATTAAGGCCAAAACAGTTAATTCATGTCAAGTTCAATTGAAACAGGATGTAACATCTCTCAGAAATTACATGACAGTGATATATGCCAGCTGAAGTACAACAGTAATGAAATCAAGTGCATAATCTCAGAGTAACAGTCACTCAGTCCTCCCATTCATTCCAACCTCACAGTCACCCATTCCTCACAGCCTCTCAATTCTCCTAGTCACTCGGCGCTCGCACTCAGCAGGTACCTACGCTCACCAGGGGTGTGTACAGACTTCGGAGGGGCTCCTTCAACCCAAGCGCTATAATAAGCCAATCATGGCATAAATCAATAAAACATGTTGCGCCGTGCAGCCCAATCTCATAAATATCCTCACAATCAGGCCATCGGCCT